AATGGCAGCCCGCCCGCCCGCCCACCACCACCAAAAGATGGAGAAAAGTCAGGAATAACATCACGAGACCGGCGAGAAGGTATGTACTGGGGCTTAAAAAAAAATCAAGGGAGGAAGGCTGCTTAAGGGGGTAGGGGGTGAAGGAAGAAAAATCCTGGAGTTACCCTTTAAATAATTTCAAACCATGGTTTTGAGGAATGTGTCCTTATTTTAAACCAGTGCCCGCTTGTAGAGATTTCTCCAGGTGCGATCGGGTCTGTGCAGACATTTACAGCCCTCGGCTTATTAAAGGTGTCAATATGGCGGTCATTGCTCCGTGATGCAACCATACCCACCAATTCCCTATGGGAGCTAATAAGTGTCCACCCCAACCACCTCCACCAACCGTCTCAGCGTTTGTTTCCAGATGAGGTCCCATGCTTCGCACAGCCCTTGTGGATGCTGAGGGCTGTAAATGACTGAACAGGCCATAGTCTGAACTTTCTATTAGCCCCTAAAAATAGTGGTGCAGATGATTCTAGAATTGGGCTGCGTTTTGTCACCCGGTGTTTCCCCCCATACCTGGAGAGTCTCTTTACATGACAATAAATATGGGACGTGGAGAGTGAGCTTTCCCCTAAAAGTGCAGACGGCCTGCAGAGATCACAGCGAGCATGTCCTGAGCCATGGTCCTCATATCTAAGGAATCCTTGCTGAACCATGCAGGTAACCGTACTTATCAAATGCTGGGGGGGGGGGGGGGGGTGCCAGATATTTAGCCGTTATAGACTGAATTGCAATAGGTTTCTAGAATACAGTATCTGATTGGTTGCTGTAGGGCGGGCCGGTGCTGACAAACATCCAGGAAGTTGATTGAGTTTGGTCATTAATATTCATTTCTTCTGCTATTCCTTTATGTCTGTGCAGGTTTAACCCCTTCGCGCCAGCGCCTCCTGGCCCTTTAAGGGTTTCAGAAGGCAGGAGGCGGGGTTTAGGGTCATGTGACACGACGTCACATGATCGGGAAAGGTCCCGATCGAAAGAGGAGATCGGGACATTTTCGAGAGTACCAGACATGTGTGCTGGGAGCGTGCAGGGCGCGCGTTCTCAGCACATATGTTCTTTTTTAATAGGACGCAAATGTGCGGCCGCTCGGCGGCTAGGCCCAGATGCCGGGAGGTGTCACATTCGTGTTCGGCCGGCATGATGAGGTTAAAGAAGAATTCCAGGTATGCATATTTTATACATAGTTACACTGGACCAGCTTGGATCAATGTAGCTATGTATACGCCATACCTGTGGGATACATCTGGAAGCTGGAAATGACTGAAGTAGACACTGCTACTACACTGCTACTACAGTGATCTCAACTAACTTCCGGGTCCTGTGCCGAGCGGCTGTCCAGCTGCACTGTCAACACAGCAGGTCGGCTACTTGGCACAGGCGCCGTTTACAGAATGCTTTGCATTTTCTAAGCGAATGCAAAGCTTTCACTGACTGGACCAGGCGGAGAGGCGGGGCAGTGACATCATGCTCTCCACCTGTCCACTATGCAAAATATTCTCTGAATGGCATCTGTGCCAAGAAGTCACCTGCTGCATTCTGAGCAAAGGCGGTCGGCTGCTTGGCAAATACACCATTCACAGATTACTTTGCATTTTCTGAATGCAAAGTGGATGAGGTGGAGAGTGTGACGTCACGCCCCGCCCCCCCCACCTGGTCCAATCAGAGAAAGATTTACATTTACTCAGAAAATGCAAAGCATTCACTGAATGGGCCCCCAAGTGGCCGACCTCCTGTGTTCACAATGCAGCTGGGCACAGGACCCAGAAGCTAATGGAGATCACTGTAGTAGCTGCGTAGTAGCAGTGTCTACTGCAGCGATTTCCAGTTTCCAAAAGGACCCCACAAGTATATATATGGTTACATTTTTCCAAGCTGTACCAATGCAATTATGCATAAAAAAATAATCCATATCTGAACTTTCCTTTGCTGTGTCCAATGACAAAATTGCTCCTCATTACCATCAGAAAACAGTAGCATTAGGCCCCCTCCACACAGGGCAGACTCTGCCAGGAGCCCGCCTGCTCAGTGGGGAATCCCCACACTCCTCTATAGACGGTCGGATATTATCGGACCGCCTGTCTACACCCGACTGTCATCCGATCCTCTAGACCACAGGTGCCAAACACAAGATCTGCGGGCCGAATCTGGCCCTCCAGGCCATTTCATGTGGCCCTTGCACCTCTCCTGCAAGTACCCCCCGGTCTCTGCCCCCACCTGGTCTCAGCAGTTGGCAGCGGAGAAGAGAACAGAAATCCTCTGCCAAATCCTCTGCATCCCCTCATCTCCGCCTCCCCTGGTCTCAACATTCAGCAGACTGTGGTAACTGACTGCACTCCTTCTCTGGTCCTCCTCCAGACCCTGCACTTTCTGCTGTCTAGCTCTACCCCCAAAGGGGGTGCACGGTGATGTTAGGGAAGGTGTAGGATTCTTGAAATCTGATGTAATGGGGGGGTGGGGTGCTCTGGATATCTAGTCTTACAGATACAACACACCCTTTGAGGGCAACCATAATGCTGATATGGGCCGCGATGAAATGGAGTTTGACACCCCTGCTCTAGACGGATGGGGAGCGGATTGCCATCAGTCAGTTTATAGCGGATTGGATGAGGACAGGTATAAACAGACATGTCCATTTACATAGAGGATAATGGAGGGTCCGAACGGGACAGCCTGAAAAACTGACAACTGGACCCGATTGGTCTGCCCTTGTGAGAGGGGGGCCTTAACCATCCTAATTCACCTCCAAAGCTCTTCCACAGACACTGCATTCCCTCCGTCAGCCGTTCATTCATAGCAACAGCCACAAGTACCTGGATCCAAAGACTACTTCAAGAGCCTGCACAGGCACAAGGGAACAAGCTTGGCAATGAATAGGAACGACATATTAACTGTTCGTGCAAATTTGATCTATAGAGGAGCAAGTCAGCAAACGTACACCGTGTGAGAATGCCCAGAGAACAGCTACCAATCCCAATCTTGAGGTCTCTGCACACAAAAAGAAAAGAAACGTTTTGGGGTTTGTTATCACTAGGATGGGAATACACAGAAAAAAGGGGCATGGGGTGTCAAGTACGAGGGTTAAAGGGGTAGAACACAAACAAGTAGCTTTTTTTTTTTAAGAATCATTATATGCCAATGACACCTTAGAACTTACACTGACATATAGGGGCCGCCTTCATCCAAAAGCGATATTTCCACTTTAAGAGCAAACCTGTACAGGGGGGGGGGGGGGAAGCCTCTGGGTTTCTTATAAACCTTCAGTGACAGGTTTCCCCCCCCTCAGTATTTGTTTTTCCCCGGCCCTCCCCATAAGGCCATAATGTAGGTGTCAGTCTTGCAGCGCCAGCCTCTGCTGGAAGGTGACACCGTCACTTGGCTATGTACATACTGCTGCAATGGTAAGGGACTGGAGGGTGACACTGTCACTTAGCTATGCTGCAATGGTAAGGGACTGGAGGGTGACACCGTCACTTAGCTATGCTGCAATGCTAAGGGACTGGAGGGTGACACCGTCGCTTAGCTATGCTGCAATGGTAAGGAACTGGAGGGTGACACCGTCACTTAGCTATGCTGCAATGGTAAGGGACTGGAGGGTGACACCGTCACTTAGCTATGCTGCAATGGTAAGGAACTGGAGGGTGACACCGTCACCTGGTTATGTACGTACTGTTGCAATGGTAAGGAACTGGAGGGTGACACCGTCACTTAGCTATGCTGCAATGGTAAGGAACTGGAGGGTGACACCGTCACTTAGCTATGCTGCAATGGTAAGGAACTGGAGGGTGACACCGTCACTTAGCTATGCTGCAATGCTAAGGGACTGGAGGGTGACACCGTCACCTGGTTATGTACGTACTGTTGCAATGGTAAGGAACTGGAGGGTGACACCGTCACTTAGCTATGCTGCAATGGTAAGGGACTGGAGGGTGACACCGTCACTTAGCTATGCTGCAATGGTAAGGGACTGGAGGGTGACACCGTCACTTAGCTATGCTGCAATGATAAGGAACTGGAGGGTGACACCGTCACTTAGCTATGCTGCAATGGTAAGGGACTGGAGGGTGACACCGTCACTTAGCTATGCTGCAATGGTAAGGAACTGGAGGGTGACACCGTCACTTATCTATGCTGCAATGGTAAGGGACTGGAGGGTGACAACGTCACTTAGCTATGCTGCAATGGTAAGGAACTGGAGGGTGACACCATCACCTGGCTATGGATTTACTGCTGCAATGGAACTGGGAATTCTTCTGGGTGGTCCCAACGCTGGATCAACCAGGAAATGTGTGATTTGCAGCTTCACAAACCGGGATATCACTTTTGTCTGGAGTTGGCCTTCAACCTTTAAGTGGTGAGAAGGAAACATAAAGCAAAAACCAACACACATTCTTATGATGTGAAATTGAACCCTGTAAGAGAAACCAGAGGAATAGAAAGAATATTTTTGGGGGGCACTTGTAAAGCCCACAGAGCCCCTCCCCCAAAAAGCTTGGTGCATTGCTTGGCAGGCGAGAGACGCACATCCTCGTGACCCGCCTGCTGCGTCGGAAGCCTCGGCGGGCGTAGCGCGAGGAACAGTGAGGTGTAGACGCTTTGGAACGATGATGCTTGTGCCCTTTTGTCTCGAGACGATGCCACAGCCAGTCCACAGCACAACAGCAAACCAGGACACAAGAAAGAGGGAGGAAAAAAAGGTGGTAGAAGCGGTGTCCGCGGCGTCACAAAGCATCCAAGATGGTGGCAGCCAGAGATTATATTGCGCGTCCTCAAGTTTTCAGCTCAAGTAAATAGAGATGAACCCTCTTCCTAGTTCTGCGTGGAGGCCACCCCTTTCTCTCAGGCAGTGAACAGGTTAAAACGAAGCGTGGGTTTTTTTTTTTTTTTGTTCTTTTGTAACTTTCTGCAGAGAAACGACGACGAATAAAGTTTAGCAGTCTGCTCTCTGCCTCCTGCGTTCATACACTGAGCGGGAGCATCCCGGGCGGGGACGGAGGCCGCGATCCATGAATGCCAGGAGGTTCGTAGCCATTCATTGCCCTGCGGACAGAAAACATGGGGTCACTACACCGAGAATTCACAACGGCTCACCGCCCAACCTTCACATTTCTCAGGCCGGTGATAAATGAACAGGATAAGCAACTCCAACCACAAACAGGGTGGAAAATTCACCGATTGGATTCAAACTCAAAAAAAAAAAAAAAAAAAAAATACATTTTTATATTCTATGAAGCGCTCCATAAACCAATGTTTCAGCATTTGACAGGTTAAGAGTTGAACTCTGAGAATGTGAAAAAAAAGAACCCCTTTAGTGGGTCCTCTCAGCAACTCGTTCAGTCTAGGGCAGTGGTTCTCAAGCTGGGGGGTCGAACGACCCTTTCACAGGGGTCGCCTAAGACCATCGGAAAACACATATTTCCGATGTGTAAAGAGCAGCTACAGTGTAGAAAGCAGCTACAGTGTTAAAAGCAGCTACAGTGTTAAAAGCAGCTACAGTGTTAAAAGCAGCTACAGTGTTAAAAGCAGCTACAGTGTTAAAAGCAGCTACAGTGTTAAAAGCAGCTACAGTGTTAAAAGCAGCTACAGTGTTAAAAGCAGCTACAGTGTTAAAAGCAGCTACAGTGTTAAAAGCAGCTACAGTGTTAAAAGCAGCTACAGTGTTAAAAGCAGCTACAGTGTTAAAAGCAGCTACAGTGTTAAAAGCAGCTACAGTGTTGAAAGCAGCTACAGTGTTGAAAGCAGCTACAGTGTTGAAAGCAGCTACAGTGTTGAAAGCAGCTACAGTGTTGAAAGCAGCAGTATTGGAGGTAAAACGACACTCATGAATTATAATTACTGGGTAAATAATTTTATGGTTGGGGGTCACCACAACATGAGGAACTGTATGAAAGGGTCACGGCATTAGGAAGGTTGAGAACCACTGGTCTAGGGGAAGCGGAGTGGAGATACTTACCTTACCACCCACTCCGGCGCTCTCCTGCCCTCCCTGACCCCCGGGTTAACATCTATGCGGCCGTGCTTTGCATGGGCACGAGAGCCCATTCATTTGAATGGACTCCCATGCCACGCAGGGAAGAAGTCCCTGCACTTCTTTGGAAAACGTAGCCGAGGTTCCCAGTACGGTTGCGTTTTCCAGTGCGCGCGGCGTGCCACGAGAACTAATGGCTCCCGCCCGCGGGTCCGCAATTCTCTGTGAGGGTGGATCCGCAGTGGCACCACCTGCACAGATGTGAACCTAGGGTGAAGCTCCAGTCTGTGGGTGGAGCCACTGCATCGTCACATGCGATGCATGGCTAATGACATTTCACTGAACGTAGAGGAGGAAGCATTGTGACCACGGTCCAGAGCATCCTACAGAAGAAATTTTACAGGACTAGTCATACCAATAGGATGTCATTGCTGGACCGAGAAAAAAAATGTATTACTCCTTAGCCCTGCACCCCTGGACCGAACAAGTGGTTAACCCTTGTATACTATGGAGAGTATGTGACCTCAGCCCAAAACTCCCTTGAGAAGAGGCTGCTAGGGACCAATCACACGGATGGAGCCATAAGTAAGGTATTTTCTCTACTCATCTGTGCTCCCCTACATTAAACCAGCAATGTCAAGAGGCCTCACTGCACGGGTTGGTTTTGTCACATTCCTGGAGTTCAGCTTTCAACCAATTTTCAACTTGTACAGCCAAAACTTTTTTTTACCCCCCCCCCCCCCACCCCCGTTTTAGATACAATAGGGAAGTGTTAAAAATTCTGTCCTTTTATTTTTGCACTTTGTGGAGATTCCCCCACCCCAGTTGTCACTGGCCCAGAAGACCCCGCTGGCAGGTTTCCCCTCACGTGACATTTTGGAACCAACCTAGCCCCCCCTCTCCCTGCTCCTGAGCACTTACCTCAACCATGCAGCCTTGGGCTCTGGTCACTGCCCTGGCCGCGCCTGCGCTTTACAGCCTCCTAGCCTTCTATATGTCCTGAAGACGATCTTTGGCAGTCCCAAAGAAGTCTAAGGCCTTTTTCACCCGAGCGTTCCGTATGTCCGTTTTTCATCTGTCCTTTTACGGATGAAAAACGGACCCCCATGTATTTCTATGGACTTGCAGATGTAAACAGATGAACATTTTTTTTACATCCGTTAATGTCAGCATCCGTTACATCTGTTTTTTTGAATGGAAGTAAACCCTATTTTTCTTCCGCAAAAAAAACCTGGAACGAACGAAAAACGGGTGTAGACGGATGAAAAACGGGTGTAGACGGATGAAAAACGGGTGTAGACGGATGAAAAACGGGTGTAAATGAAGGACTGGTGAAAAAACGGATGAAAAAACACATGAAAAAAAAGAGAGGTAAACATGAAAAATGGGTGTAAATGGATGAAAATCAGATGTAAAGGGATGAAGGATGGATGAAAAAAACAGATGAAAAAAACGGATGTAAACAGATGAAAAACGGATGTAAACAGATGAAAAACGGATGTAAACAAATGAAAAACAGATGTAAATGGACGAAGGATGGATGAAAAAATGATGTAAACCAATGAAAAACTGATGTAGACAGATGAAAACCGGGTGTAAACGGATGAAAAACGGGTGTAAACGGATGAAAAAAACGGGTGTAAACGGATGAAAAACGGGTGTAAACGGATGAAAAACGGGTGTAAACGGATGAAAAACGGGTGTAAACGGATGAAAAACGGGTGTAAATGAAGGATGGATGAAAAAACAGATGAAAAAACAGAGGTAAACGGATGAAAAACAGATGAAAAACAGATGTAAACATGAAAAATGGGTGTAAATGGATGAAAAACAGATGTAAATGGGCGAAGGATGGATGAAAAAAAACAGATGAAAACCGGATGTAAACGTATGAAAACGGATGCGAATGAATGAAAAAACGGATGTGAATGGATGAAAAAAAAAACGGATGTGAATGGATGAAAAAATGTGACTGAAGAAAAAAAACCGGAACGCCCGTACCCAAAGGGGCTACAATGGGGAGGCGCTCAGGAGGCTGTGGCCACGGAATCTAGGTAAGTTTTATCTGTGGAGGGGAGGGTGGGTTAAGTTCGGTCAGGAAAAAGGGGCAAAAGTAAATGTGCAGTCATCCTCTAAACCCCCCCCCCCCCCCCCCCCCCCCCCCCCCATCTTCTCTTGCATCTTGCTATTGGTGGGCCCGCTGTGCCACATTCCCGGTCTGCCCATCTTTCAGGGGTCCACCATCCCTAGTGAGCACATGACTATGATAGAGGCATCCCACCACGAACGTCTCCAGCGTCTCCAATGACTCCATCTAGCACTATAGTGAGCTGTGGAGGGTCTTTGGTTCACAGAGGAATATCTGTACATTTGTGGGTTTCCTCACCCTGGAAGGTTAAAGTGTTACTAAACCCCCAGCAGTACAATCAGTCTGTAGATGCAGTAAAGCATGCTTGTTATACTCACTGTGGAGCCTAAGTGGTTAATCCTCCGCATTGTGTAAAAAGGCCGTTTGATCCTGTCTTCTCTGATCCTCCCCTTCTTCTACTGTCCCCAATCCATCTGATAATACAGAGCTATAGGAGTCACTCTGCACATGCTCACTTTAGAGTGTATTGCTAGAGTTTTTTTTTCTTTGGGAGGGTGTATGTGTTTGGCACAGGACCAATCAGCATTGTCCAGAGGGTCAGGGGTCATGCAGCCCCATAGGACAGTCAGAGCAGAATGAAAAACTCCTACAAGCTTTAAATAGTGCTGGGCCAGACACTGATAGAAGTCACAAGAATGCTATATACTGCTGATGAGAAAAGGGATTTAGAAGTTTACATTTACTAAAAATAATTGCATTTCCATGTTGTGTGTACTGTGAGAGAGCAGATATAGTGAATGCGGGGTCCGGGGAGAGGGGATATAGTGAACGCGGGGTCCGGGGAGAGGGGATATAGGGAACGCGGGGTCCGGGGAGAGGGGATATAGCGAACGCGGGGTCCGGGGAGAGGGGATATAGCGAAACGCGGGGTCCGGGGAGAGGGGATATAGCGAACGCGGGGTCGGGGAGAGGGGATATAGCGAACGCGGGGCCCGGGGAGAGGGGATATAGCGAACGCGGGGCCGGGGAGAGGGGATATAGCGAACGCGGGGCGGGGGGAGAGGGGATATAGCGAACGCGGGGCCCGGGGAGAGGGGATATAGCGAACGCGGGGCCCGGGGAGAGGGGATATAGCGAACGCGGGGCCCGGGGAGAGGGGATATAGCGAACGCGGGGGCCCGGGGAGAGGGGATATAGCGAACGCGGGGCCCGGGGAGAGGGGATATAGCGAACGCGGGGCCCGGGGAGAGGGGATATAGCGAACGCGGGGCCCCGGGGAGAGCGGATATAGCGAACGCGGGGCCCGGGGAGAGCGGATATAGCGAACGCGGGGCCCGGGGAGAGCGGATATAGCGAACGCGGGGCCCGGGGAGAGCGGATATAGCGAACGCGGGGCCCGGGGAGAGCGGATATAGCGAACGCGGGGCCCGGGGAGAGCGGATATAGCGAACGCGGGGCCCGGGAGAGCGGATATAGCGAACGCGGGGCCCGGGGAGAGCGGATATAGCGAACGCGGGGCCCGGGGAGAGCGGATATAGCGAACGCGGGGCCCGGGGAGAGCGGATATAGCGAACGCGGGGCCCGGGGAGAGCGGATATAGCGAACGCGGGGCCCGGGGGAGAGCGGATATAGCGAACGCGGGGCCCGGGGAGAGCGGATATAGCGAACGCGGGGCCCGGGGAGAGCGGATATAGCGAACGCGGGGCCCGGGGGAGAGCGGATATAGCGAACGCGGGGCCCGGGGAGAGCGGATATAGCGAACGCGGGGCCCGGGGAGAGCGGATATAGCGAACGCGGGGCCCGGGGAGAGCGGATATAGCGAACGCGGGGCCCGGGGAGAGCGGATATAGCGAACGCGGGTTCGGGGAGACTGGATATAGTGAATGCGGGGTCCGGGGAGAGCGGATATAGTGAATGCGGGGTCCGGGGAGAGCGGATATAGTGAATGCGGGGTCCGGGGAGAGCGGATATAGTGAATGCGGG